ATGCAAAATATAAACACGTATATATTCAATATCAATAACGTGAGGTACAAATCTATTTCTACGTAACGTATACGAAGGTGAAGCTTTTCGATTTACCGAATATACAACTAAGCTGATTTACACGATATAGATATAACCTGCTGACAATTCAAGTTAAATTACAATGTTCGAAGACATATTTACATATATATCAGTATTTACATATCTATATTATATTTGAGGGGTAAATATTCGAATAGAAAAATTCTCGTATAAAATAATACAGCAACGCAATTTCTTGTTTAAAGTTTTATTAACTATTTCGAACGATATAATATAAGTATTACTTACATCGGCGAACGAGGAAAACGTATACTATCTGGAACTTGATTATGCGTTTCCATTTTCTAAGAAAATTCGAAAAGTACGCAAACCTCATGGCTCTTTCTTGCACTACTTTGTTTCTTCTTATCTTCGGTATGATGCGAGTGACTGGAAGCTAATTATTTTTCTTATCGCCATCAAAATTAAATAATGGCAGTCATGGGATCAACTATTGCAATGTCTATTAAAAAAAGGACTACTTTTTACGAACACGGTCTTTATAAAGTTTGATCTGTTCTCGATTCGGAAATGCTTACGTTCAATGCACGATGGAAAAAAACTACTTTGTGCTTCAAATTTTTTTAATGCAGTTATTTATCATGCTCGCAAGAATGAAGCATATGCGAAAATGATTGTCCTAGTTAAAAAAAAAATCGAAGGCACTCCAAGGAATTATAAGCATCAAAATGAAAATACGAAAAATTAATTAAAGAAATGGCCATTTTCAGTACATTATTTTTGGCCCCTAGCTAATTTCGTGATAACGGTTTCACTTTAGCAGAAAGAATCTTTTAGAAAGATTCCACGAAGTCACGTTATCTGTGTACTATTATATCCGAAGATTATGTTTTGTGTATATTTTGAGAATGATCCTCAAACTATGATCCTAACCTTATGATTATATTTGCTAGCAATATTTTTGAGGACATGTCCCAAAATGATAAATTCAGGGTGTCTTTTGTCAATAGATTGCTTAAGGGTGCATATTTTGTTATCAGTTCGCAAACCAGCCCATAAACTGGAATTTGTGCGAGGTCCGACCCCAAAACAGCCATAAGTCCTTAGAGTATTTGATTTATTGAAGTAATTGCCCCCGCAGTAGCCCTTAGATAAACATAAATACATATAGTATATTATAGCATAAGAAAAGCAGCTTCTTCCATTTTACTGAAATCTCATCGAACCTTAGTTCTAACTACTTGCGTATATCCATATACGGATAGATATATTGTATTGCCAATCAATGGAAACGTCCCCTCTCCCCTTCCAAAATTCGGTTGATATTTTTCGACTCGAGGCAGAACTTTTATACTCTGACAATTTAAATGTTAACCTAATATAACAACAAAAGACCAATTCGAGTGAATGTGCGAAGTACGCTACTAGTTAACTCGTTGTACAAATTTACGAGAAAAGTTGTTCAGTAACTACGTATGTACTCACGTAAAACTCCACGTCACCAAGATACTATTTCATCTTGGATAAAATGTGAATGAAAGTTTTACAGGAGTTTCTATACGAAGATTGCATCTCACAGTGTACCATATACGTATAGTTTGCCGTGGAAGAAATTTTTAAAATGACCCAATGTTCTTGTTTCCCGTATCACGGAATCACTACTTCCGCTTCACTGTTCGAGCTTAGGTCTCTTGACGTCGCACTTTTATTTTTCCCCGTCTGAATCTTGGTTATTTGAAACATTCGATCCAACAATAATTAACGTGAATTTAATTCGGAGCCTAAAGGGGCTGTATCGTGAAAAATAAAAAATAAATACGCCACGACTAAGTCTCTTGAAATTCTCGCAGCGTGTTATCTGTAATAATTTACGGTATAAAACCATACTATATAAATTTTAATGGCGTCATAACGTTAACGCGAAACTTCATTCATATCACTTAATGCCATTTCCTACGTCCACGTCATTCCTGCCCTACGCTTCTGCAAATTAAGTATCATGATATATGTTATTATACAATTTTTTGAATTTCCGCGAATTTCACTCTTCCACCTGAGTTATCACTGTGAATAAAATATTTTAAACAATTTTTTTTAATTTACCGACAAATAACTTTTTCTCCACGTGACACCCCAATGATTTCCAACTATCGCACAGGGATATTCTGAGGCCACGGTATTTTAATAACATCCAATTTTGCAAAAGCGTCACGCAGCAGATCAAAGACAAAATTATTACAAAATTAAACATATGACCAGCACAGTGTTTTATAAATATAAAACTCTGAAGTTGACGGGAAAAAGAACAACGTATCCACACTTACCAAAGAACGAGGTTATTAAAAAAGTTATTTATCCACATTAAATTTGCAATATTATTTGCGCCAAAGGATATATGTAAAAATTTGTTCGTTAAATAAACAACAAATATGTCGGTCAAAGTGCCGAATATATTTGGCAATTTATTATTCTATATAAGTACCGAGAGTACGTAAACGTACGTAAACGTGTGACGAATGAAACTAATTAAATACCCCAACCTTCTCCTCCTTCTAACCCTCTACACCTAAAGTACCTGTAGGACAAATTTCAAGTGCGCGTCAAAAATTACCTGCAATTACACACACTTGTAAAACAATCGAAAATTACTCATAGCTAAATTCTTAATACGCATTAACCTTTCCTGGTTATCGTCCCAATTTATTTGTAACGCTAATTAGCCGAAATCCTGGCAAAAATTGAAATGGTAAATTAGATTATACGATCATAAATCATAACTCGTAGAATTTGATACGGCTCGGGTAACCACTATATCCTATTATCGTATATCAGTCTTCACACCCTCCGCCTTGGTTTAATCAATCTACCACATACCAATTTAATGCAGATTCCTTTGACTAATTTATAATCGACAAAAACGAGATACCTGAAGGTATAATTAATTCGAAATGGTACCATAAAATAAATTTTCGTATTTTCCCAAAATTCTTACTTGCCACACAAAGATTAATCAGATAGTCAGCGATGAAAGTTTCATCATTAGCACACATGTTGCATTGATGTCAAAGTGCAGGTGATGAACGAAGGTAGGGGTGGTAATGTTTAGCCTGAAGATGCTCTTCAAGGATTACGGGGGTAGGAAAGTAATTCACGCCCCAAGCCGATAAGGCAAAATGCATAACAGGTGAGTTGCGCCCGAGGGTTCATACAGAGGATGCTTCACCAGATAAATTCAAGATATCGAGACCAGGTTAACCGCTGTACCAATACCTTAAGGGTGGATATGTACTAAGGAGCTTCGTACCTTAAGGCAGCTTGAAAGTATTAATAATCCGGAACGATTATTGTCCAAGGGATGCTGCTCGTGGAGAGAGATACCACGAATATAGATGAAAGGGATGCTGGACGTCGTGAATGAAAAAGAACTTGCTCCCACCATACTATGCTACTTATACATATCAAGTGGTTAGTCTGTGATAAATTGGGATTGTCACTGCTGAATCCCAGCCTGTAGGAACATTGAGATTTCCCTATTTACCATCCAGTCGAAATTACTCGACCAAAAGATGTTGGACGTCTTAGATGTATCCACGAGGTGTAAATTTGATTATTGATAATCTTAAAAAAAATTGACATATTTTTCATTTTAAGGAAAGACCGCGAAGGCCCATTCGTGGCAATATTTTATTTAAAGAAATTTTGTAATACGTATGAAAAGCTATTCGAATTTAAAAAAAAATATATTTCTAATGAGTCAAGATCAATAATTCTATTATTAATCGCTATATTAGGACTCTGTACAATTAAGGGTTGAATGCTGTATATTATTTCTATTATTGGGTTTGTCTGTAATTAACTTTAAAATGTTCGCGATGCTTTGATGGGTTAAATTATGAAGGAATTGTAAATATGATGGAAGGAATTGCTAAAGTCTTTAAAAAAAAGTCAGTACTTCCTCCAGCTTGTTCGCTGGTTTATATTTGTTCGCTTTACCATCTCGCGTCTACCAACAACGTGAGGGTAATGCGCTTTGGGGAAAAGTGTCTGGAATTAAATTTACTACGGATATGAAGAAAGAAACTTTATGGTCGTGTCTGTATTTTTCGGCCGATATCTTGGACGAGTCGGTTAATCTCAAAAACAAGTTATGGCTTAATAACCGTATACTAAAAATATTGCTATTTTAGCACGATACCGCGGGCTTTAGATAGATCCACAATAAACATGATATTTCATTCAAAATATTTCAGTGACAACAACACAAGATAATTATAGAGGAAATACGAGAAAGACGGGCTTACTGATCTTTTAATGTTGATAATTCCCGCCGTGGTTATAGCGGGAAAATTCAAATATACACATAATGTTAATTAGCATCGACCAAAGCAACACTAATATCTGCGCCCCTGATTGATATTTCAAGCCGTTTACATAATTAAAAGGAAACCAGTAGAAGTTCCAAGTGAAGTAAGAATATCAAACTTGTACCGGAAATAAGTACGAGACTTTGAAGTATCCATTGCAAAATGCTTCCAGGAAGAAACGCCAAGTCTTCGCTCGCTATTCAACATAATGACAAAGTATTCGCGGACTCTGGCTTTGTACTTCACCGCATGTTGCCAATTTACATTGAAAGAAGCAGAAAGCTTTCCCATGTTGAAATTAAATTCGATTCTCAATCCGGCGATAAAGTTGAGACTTCTAGTTCCCTAAGTGGTTTCTTCACTAATGCAAATTGCACTAAGTCTTCTTACCACTTTCAAGTCGCTCCATTACTATTGAATTTCTATGACAGATTTATACCTTTACATATGAGAATCGCCGCGAGCTACTCCAGACTCTTTGTCTCGCATTGGATATAAGAAACAAAGATACAAAATAATCAGTATACATTATATCAATTTCGTAAACAGACAAGCATAGCAGCCTAATTAAAAATATCGATTATGCGTACTCACCGCCTTCTCCAGGACTGTATTTCCATTTTGTCAAATAAGTTAGTATTCATATTGCATCCAACATGGCTATTCTCACGGTGTTAAAGGCTCGAGAACTCACAACACTGTCTTCACTTGGACTAATTCCACGGGGGAAATAATTAATATCTTCCATTTCATTAATCACACTCACGGCACAATCCAAGCATTAAGCGTCAGCCGGTAGGTCTGTAGGAGCGCGCGAACTGAATCGATACTGGCGACGGTTGACAAGAAAAAACCTCAACCATTCCTGGCACTGCGTTAAACAGACATAGTATAGCACACAGGTCAAAACAATGATAAACCTTCGCCAAAGATATCTGTCCATGCCGCATTCATGCTCAGTGCTGATAATGTTTTGACAGCGTATAAACCGATACACTCCATAACAATAAATGCAACGCACATCGTATTCATCGTACAAAATCGAAATGGAGGTATTGATGACAAGTAGAGCAATATTACAGCGCGTATCAGGTTGCAGGGAAAACTTCATAGTGCAAACGTACCTCTGGGTAATCATTCTTTAGACTTGAAAACTTGAATGCACAGAGAAACCTGATATATTGAACACCGTGCTAAAAGTCACAGTGAAATGGATTCTGTTATGTTCAAAGGTATATGTACAATTCTATACAATTTTCAATGAACATAGTAAACCATATCGACCTATGTAACAACCTACCATCTCATAAGTTCCTTGTGTATTAACAATAGGTTTGGCCAACATCTCATTCGCAAATGCATATATAAACTGCGAGATACTGTTTTTTTTTAATTTTGAACAGTTCTGATGAAATTTTTTTATTTTACGTAAACATTGTTCGTAAGTTATTTCATGTTCCTGACAACGATCAGATCTCAAGAAGAAAATTTTTTCTCGATATCTATGTACATCTGACATTCTCGTGTTCATACATTATTGAACATTGCGCCTCTAACCTTTAACCTAACGTTGCGTCGTCAGATCAAAGATTTCCTACGTAAGGTATTTACAGGGTTAAATCCTGGATCATACGTTTTCTTTAATCAGCCGTTACTTGTACGCTGATGTACCCGTGTAAAAACTAACATAAATCCCGAAAGGGTAATTCGATTAAGTGATTAATCAGTCCATCAATCCTTTTAATCAACGTTAATCGAGATGAAAATTAAGATTGCTTTTATCATTTACCTCGTCTTATAAAAATATATGAGATTACTGTGTAAAGCTGTAAAAATAATGACTCTTACGAGTCTTAATGTAAACTGTTGTAATTACATTAAATTACTATGTACATAAAGTCAGTGCAGGAAGTTAAATTAAAAACTAACTTGCACAGTAAAATTTTACTCAATAATACTGAATTCGTAATCGGAAATAACGTATATATATTTTTTCTTAGCGGTTACAAAAATTCGTAAATATATTTAAAATCTGGCAAAGACATTTTTCTTTATTCCTCAAGAGATCAAAGACATTCTCGAGATAACGTAGAAAGCACTTCTCACGATACTGCTTTCTTCGTTAACTTTACATGGAACACGTATGGCGGACGCCATCGTCTTCTGAAAGCCACCTACCACCGGCAATATTACTAAAAGGTTTTCACCATATATCCCATGCATTGTTGCATTCCGTTACACGAGTCAGAGGGAGAAAATCAAAGGATACTACACCTTCAGCCTACCATACAGTCAACTTTCCGCAATGTAAAACCTCAATACGTGGTTTTGAGCGAGCACGAAACTTATCACAATTTACTTCGTAAAACTCTAAGCGAAAATCCATATGGAGTAAAAGTAGAGAAAAGAAAAATTACAGGTTAAAGGTCGCGTTATCATCTTCACCCCTGCCACTCCCTTTCACAAAGATATGTTGCTAAAAGGCTAGACATTTCTAAGGTACACTATAATTGAAAATCACCAAGTTCGTTATAGATGCCGGTAAACACATAAAAAAAAGCACTGTTACCGTAATCATCTGCATGCATATGTGAACAGCAAAATATACTCAACTTAGATAAGATACGTACAACCCTATAGAAGATGATTTATGCACTTTAATGGTTTCTAAATAAAAATATAGAACTTACGTATAGTCGTGTGCTTTACATAAGTTGCTATATAAATATAAATATCCAAGGGTATCTTTCCTAAAGATAAAAAAAATATTACACATCAATCTCAGTGACCGACTTCCAAAAGTTCCACATGTGCGAATTAGCCGTACATCTTTTGAAATTAGTTGGCTAGCCAGGACAGTCCAGTTCCATGGTACCTACGTCCATTGCTTAGTGCAGAGTCCCGTTTCGAGTTTTATGACCTCATAAATTTTAGCCTGACTTCTCTCAGGCAAGAAAGTCTTAGTTAAAGTCTGTCTTTTTCATTGCCAGCTTCTTCGTCGTGAGCTTAACGACGGACTCGTGCACTTGAATATTCTTTGAGAATCGTTCGTTTCTCGTTTTGCCTTGTTGCAAACAGACTAAAAAAATAAGAGTGCACTTTATACACGTGTGTAAAGTGGATTTACGTAGAAACGTAAAACGAGCTAAGTCCATTACTACTAGTTCCTTTGGTCGTACACTTTGTCATTCGTATATCTGTGTGTATATATATATACCGTGTGTTCCTTTGAAAACTTCCCAGCTAAGTAACTCTAAAACAATGCATTTTCGAAAAAAAAGGATTAGAACAAAAGTTGTTTGATTGGGTGGGGGGAGTAAGGTGACGAAATTGTATGGCGATGCTGAGGTCGCATTTTCAAAACGACAGTGTTAAGCTTTTTCAAGTAAAACTCATCATGAGACATGAGGCTCACAAGTTAAACAATTCCAAGTGTCGGGCGTGGAATTAAACTTATTCAAACATACTGCAGGAAGGTAGACGCGCGAGTGTGTAATTATTCAAATATGTTTGAACGTTATAATCTAGCTGATCTTAAGAACGATGATACCAAGTGAACTTGACGCGTACTTCGTATTCCGATGCCACTTGAATATTCGTTCTTCTAATCTCCTGAGAGAATTCGCCAGGATTTTCCGGCACAGCTGAAAATCCTCTCATAAACCTGTATCATTACTTTGACTACGTATTACGCCATTTACTACCGACAAAGAACAAGATACATACGTCTCTTTGTATCACACTGAATGGGAGCCAGTAGGCGGATTTCCATGACTCCTTCCACATAGCTAATCCCTTAGGTCGATTGGCCATTGTTTTTGTTCTTCTTCTTGAATCATATCGTTGTTGACTCTTTTGTTCTTCTCTCGCCACGTGGATATGATGCCTGTCGTGAAAACGAGAACTAAGAAAAGAATAAGAAAAAAGAAGCATTTTGTATCGAAAAGACTGTAGTCTTGCTTTTCCTCTAGAACAAATACGAACAGAAGGATTTCTTCTGTGGAAGCGAAATAAAAGCTTTTTTTTGTAAAGACAAAGAAACTTGACTAAACTATTTATTCGTCGGTAAGGATAATATTGTAACGATGGTCAACCATGTCTGGTCTGGTCAACCAAATTAACCTTGACTTTGATAATGATGGATGGTATCTCTGGTATATTGCATTACGTGTTTTAATATTACTGGGATGTGGATTCGCGTGATTAAAATTTTTGAAAAGCTTTAATTGGCAATGTCTGTGCTGAAGTGACATAAAATTAGGATTGCAACGAGATAAACTTTGAAAAAAGTTTGGTAGAAAGGGATAACGATAATAATAATAATAATGTACTTTTGATCGAAAATCACTGAAATAAGACGAATGAGTTTTGCGAAAGTTGTGCGGATAGAGGAAAAGTATACGTGGACAAAATAACTTCAACTTCTCTGGCAGTCTCGTATATATATCAACGGAATTTCATCTTAAGATTAAGTTCTATTGGAAATCTACTTGGTATATATGTACAGAGTGAATGTACATAAATATCCATTCCATTCTATAACATGTACCTCTCAGTCTGGCTACCTTGCCTATACCTATTAGTTTTCCACTGAATTTATTCGAGGCTGGAACCTTGCTAAATGTCGAATCAGTAATGCAATAAATTTAGTACCTTTTTTTGAAAAAAAAAAATTATACTCTACTTGTATTGAGGCAATTAATTTTTTGAAGATTTTCGGCTTATTAGCTGAGCAAGGAAAAATAATTTTTCTAGCTATCTCCCATGCTACGCTTTTTAAAGGAATGATCGAAAGTCATTAGCTATGAACGTTCTATTAATGTTCTGCTATACGTTGTATTTCTTTCGTATGTATTCAGGCACGAATTCGACTCAGACTGTCATACGAAAACAAGTGCACTTCTCGGAGAAGTTAGGTCGTTGAATAAAATCAAAAGTAGACAAATGAAGAATTTATGTAACAGTAACCATAAGAGAGTTTTCATAGCCGTATGAAATTCCCTAAAAACTTTTAGACTGGAGGCAGGTACTGAGGAATAAAATTTTCAAAAGGCAAAACGTGAGGATGGGACCAAACGTTTATTACGAGAAAAATAAAGGATAGGATATAGTCTCGATGGCTAATTAAAAGCGAGAGGAATTATTTGCGGAATTACGAACGAAATTTTTTTAACCTACAAATTTCCTAGTCGAGTAATTGCTTAAAAGAGAAAAAATCTTGATAAAATCAAGCAAATTAATTCACAAAATTCGAGTATTTTATTCGTTCTTACTCCCAACGAATGCATTTCTCATGAATTGCAATGTGTCATCGTCACGTTTTTTATTGTGTAACTTAAATTCAGGAATCTCAGATAAATCTGCGTATAATAAAAGATCGGAGAGTAACATGGATACTTCGGTTTATTACCTAACTCACCTTAATATCATAATGGTATACATATATAGGTACGTTTAAGTATCTTGTATATGGATGTAGAGTTAATAGCCAATTACTCGAGATGTACGTACGAGGAAATTAAGCTGAAGAAGAACATTGAACGTGTATACGACTGCAGAGATTTTATATGATTTGAAAATATAAAGATCTTTAACCAGAGAAATTTAAGTACAGAATGGAAATGACTTTTCAATAATTAATTAGATTAGATTTTTATATATAAAAAGAAGAGAAAATTAAGAAAGAAAAGACGGTCCAAAATTTTGGAAAATTTGTCTTATTCATTTAGAAAATCTTATTAGTATTTGCTGTATATATTATCGTGTATTATCTTGAAAAGAAGCAAGGAAACCCACGAAAATCTTGTTGACAGTTAACTTGTCAAAG